TTTTGAAAAATGCTTATGTCATTTTTTAGATGATCGTCTCTTAAGCAATGCTTCAAAAATCTGATTTTTTAAGAATGCTTAATTTATTACCAAACACTGTAGGTCTTTTAAAGACAGTTTTACCCCTCTTACATCACTTGGGAGGCTACATTAAACATACTTTAATTTAATTCTTCTCAAAGTGTTCTCCTCCCTCTAGAAGGTAAAAATTCTGAAAAAGACCAAGTTCTTTGCCTCTCATTGGGTGACGATTTCTAAGATTTTTTGTAATTACTAGTTAGATGTTATTCTTTAGGATTGAAGTCTTTTCTTATAGGTGATTCCTCCATTTTCGGGCTTGTTTTTTGTATGCCTCTCGTATATTCTCTTGTGTCTTCTAAATGGAGGCAAATATTCCCGAAGTGTTTATAGAATAAATATTTTTGCATAAGAAGCACTTTTTTCAAAAACTATCCCAAACACACACTACATATTCTATTAAAATGTTATTTTTTGCCTGGAATATGGTTTTTGGGGAAGAAATGCAGGAGGAAAGGAAAGGGATAAGTTGGAGGGAAGGGAAGATATGACATCTTTCATTCTTTTGTAGCCTTGTTTAGTTTTGTGGAATGAAAATAGGGAAATTTCTGTCCATTCTTCACCTTGTTTTTAAAGTAAACATTTGAATACATGATAAGGGGACTAAGATAATAGCATATTTGGGTTTCTGCTGCTTATTATTATCTTTTCTTGATTCACCCATAGGTGAAGCTGTGGGAGATTGTATGGAACCAATGTCCCACTCTAATCCTATAAATAGTACCATTTCTTCTTTTCCTTGCCCCTCAAATCTCAAGGCAAAGCCTGACGCAATACTACACATGTTTTTGGAAAAATGCAATATTGCTACTTGATGATTATAATGCTATTTTTTCTTGCCCAAGTCCTGTTTCATGTTGTCAATTATTTCTCGTGTTTCAATTTGATTCTATCGTGCTGAATCTATCACAGACCGACCCCAATTGGAGTAATTTTTTGTATGATGAAGCCTCAAAAACAATTAACCTTATAGACTTTGGAGCAGCTCGAGATTACCCAAAAAGTTTCGTTGACAACTATTTAAGAATGGTAATTTTCTTGCTTTTAAGTTCTGTGATTTCTTTCCTTCTCCTATTTAACACCTTTTTTTTTTCATTTTACATACGACTGTAAGATTATGAACTTTCACCATCCAAACTATTTCTAGTTCAAATATTTTTATATTAGCATTTGATTCGACTTATTTTGAAGGACATTTTGAGGAAAATTTAGCTGGGTAAACGGTTTACTTTTGCAATTTTGAGAATTTAGAGTTCAGATAGTGAAGGGTTCATTATGATCCAATGGGTGCCTGGATGTAGGTAAGTTGTAGAATGTTTAAATAGCTGTTTCTAGCAATTATAGGAAAAGCAGTCTCAATAGAGAACAGAGAGCATTCCATTG